TACACTTCAGCTGGGGATTTTTCTAAGGATAGCCATAGAAATGTCCAAAAGAGGGACCATAGGAAACCAGAGAAAACTGTGTCCGTGAGTATAAGGACTTCCTGGGATAGCCTCTTAAACAGAGGAACAGTGAACTGCCAAACAAGAAATGAAAGGTCAGAACCCTCAGGTATCTTTATATTTGTCAACTGTAGGTTTAACACCTGTCCACTTTCAAGCTCCAGGAAAAGTTCAGCATGGGCTTAAATCCTCCCTCCCTCACACTCTCCACCCCCTGCCTCTAAACTTTAAAGCTTATGGCAGCTGGAAGGAGCTTCAAACTACTAAGTCCAGGGCATTCCCTGGGGATTACAGCATGAATAAAAGTATCTAGAGCCTCAAGAGCCAATTCCTGGAGGGCTTTCTAAGGCATCTGGAAGTCTCTGGTTACTTGGCCGACTGCACAGATCACTGATACTGAAGCACATACATGCGGTTGACATTTTGGGGAAAACCTTACATTGGTTTAAGGCCAACCTGAAAATACCTCCAACTATTGGTGTCAAAGGATTTGGAGATTGAGTCTTGGAGTTTGGGCAACCAGAGTTAAAAGTCTTACTTCTATTAGTTTTATTACTCATAAAACTATCTTGACATTCATACAGGAAAAAGGGAGGGGGTGGGGTTACAGGTTCGGTGACATGGGTTACAAGTTAGTTGGTAGGCACAATGAGGGAACAGGGACAAGAAAGGGCTAAAGGAAAGGTGGAGGGGATGACTTCAGTGGTGTAGGTGGGGCATCACCTGAGGTTTTTTTGCAGGGAAAATCAGAAGTACTGCCTCATTAAAGGGGGAAATATTTGAGAGGCTTTTGGGACCCAATGTGAACATTTCTCTGACTTGCCTAAGAATGAGGCTGGGACAGGCCTGGCTCAGCTTTGGAATCCACTGGAGAGGAAATCCAGGAATGGGCAATAAATACTCTTTCTTGGTTGTATTCTTCTCCCTAGAGTCTCAGAGGATTTAATCTCAGACTCAAGACCCTTCAGTCCAGATTTATATTATGCCCACATGGACCATCTCTCTATGGTATATTTCTCTTGGAAGTGAGTTTAGAAACCACTGCTTCTATTATAAATAAAAGCAGAAAACAAAACAAGCAAGCCAAAAAAAAAAAAAAAGAAAACCAACAAACTTAGTGCTGCAGTGGATGAAGGAAGGAGGGTGGGGAGAAAATGCATTTTCCATGTTGCCTAACTGCTAGAAATGAAAAAGATTAGTAGGTAATGGCAGGGTTAGGATTCTCTAAAGAGTGAACACACATCTGCCATACTGATTCTGAGACTACATATTCATAAAATATTTATTGAGCACCTACAATGCACTAGAAGTAAGCACTGAGGATGAAGAGGTGACTTAGGCAAAGCCCTACCTTCAAGGAGCTCACAGTCTATGGGAGGAAGCTCATAAATTATAATAGCATGACCACTGAGTTTGGGAATGGGGCAACCTGGGCCATGGATTAATGCCTGTAAGCACAGGAGTAGGTCTCTGCTGACAAAGGATATGTCTGGGATCAGCTGCTTCTGGTCCTCCATTCAAACGATAAGTTTAGGTAGGAAAAGGGTGCAGCTGAGCTCTGCAATGGATTCAGGATACAGCTGCTAAATCTAACTACAGTTGTTTTGGCACTGCTAACGGGGCTGGATTCTGCCTGGCAGCCAAAGGCTGCCAAATCCTGATTTAAGACACTGCCTGTCCAAAGAAAAAGTTATAATGAAAATAGCTTATGTCTTATACAAATTCTTAGCAATATAACAAATACGTTATCTTTAAATAGGACCCATTTTGTTACATATGGACTACCATACTGATTTAAAAGTTATCTTTTGCTTATCTTGTTTCCACGAGCTTTATAATTTGAATAGCACCCATTTGACTCTACCCAAAAATGAATTTGAAAACTTGTCCAAAAGAACCTTTCACAACATTTAATCATTTGACCTTGCCTTTATGATCTGACGTCTCTTTCTTAAGCCTTGGTTTCATTAACAAAATGGGGAAAATGAAGTCCAAAACACCAGATAGCAGCGAGGTTTAAATGAGATAGATATATGTGAAAGCAAGAGCCTATCTGAAAACTCAAACAAAAATAAAATGTCCCTGCTTTAAATCTCAACTTGAATCTTGAACTCAAGGTGCTACCATGTTTCCCTGAAAATGACCGGGTCTTACATTAATTTTTGCTCCAACAATTTACATTTATTCATATACAAAAATCTACATTTATTCAAACAGTCCTGTCTGGCTGATGGTCTTCACTGGGGCTTATGTTTGGGGTAGGGCTTATATGACGAGCATCCTGAAAAATCATGCTAGGGCTTATTTTCCGGTTAGGTCTCATTTTCGGGGAAACACAGTATATCCTGGAGGAGTGTGAAGACTAGATGAATCTTCTCCCCAGATAAAAACAGCCTGAAAAGGGTAAAGGGGAAGAGATAACGGTCATCTGGCTGTGAGAGGGCTACTGATATCCAACCCTGACTTGGCTTATCAGGGTAGTATCCCTTAGCTCTTAGCCTACTCCATCCTCTAACCCTCTCTCTCTCTCTCTCTCTGTTATTCACTTGGTTAAACAATGTTGACTTTGCTCAGGGACCATCACAGAAGAGATGGGTGTGTGAGATTGTAAGAGTCTGATAAGAGGGACACAATGGGCAAACAAATCTGTCTCCATCTTAAAGCTAATCCTCCCTCTTAATTGAACCTGGACCCAGTTCCCTATTTCCCTGAGGATTGAAGAATGAACAACAAAAAATGGAAATTGTAAGAGTGAAATGCCTGGCCTATCTGACTCCATCTTGTTGAAGCCTGCTTTGTTCCCATGGCCTTCAGGCTAATAGCTTCTGCTTAGTCTTGCACATAGACATGCTAATCATTAGAGGAATTCTGTTTTGGGCTTGAGTTTTACAAAAACAGCTCCTTACCAGAAGGTGCCTCTTCCAAGGAGATAAGGGAAGTATGTACAAAAAATAATGATTGTTTCTCCAAGATTCGCAGGAACCTCCTGCAAAATCTTCCTCAGACCCTGGCTGGTGCCCAGATGTCTGCAGTCACCCATCACCTGGTGCCCCTCCCATTTTCCCTTCCCTTAAAAGAAGTCTGAACTCTGTACTTTCTTAAGATGGATATGAGGCACCAATAAGTCACTCATCTTCTCAGTTGGCACCTTTTTGATCAATAAACCTTTCCTTACTCCAAAAAAGAAAAAATGTTGACCTTGCTCAATGAAGGGATACTACTCCTTCAATGGAAAAAAACGGAGAGGGCCCTGAAATCATGAGTGTCTTCATTGTAGAAACCAGTTTGTGGACCAAAGGCGGCATCTAGTACAGTATACATGGGTGTTTGGAGCCCAACTAAAGACCAATAATCAATGGTAATAAACAATAAGATATTTTCTATATATTATGAGATATATAAACATGCCTATTTTTAGAAAAAAAAATTAATCCAGTCCATTTATGTTTGGACAGAACTGTCCAACTTCAAAGAAAAAAAATCAAGGTTTAAAAAAACACTGAGGTTAGTGTCTATTCAGTTCAACAATTTAAAAATATTAAGTTATGCAGTGAATTAGCAAATCTTTCACTGGATAAAACTAAATAATAAATTATTTTGCATTTTCTTCATTCAGTATTTCAAAAGTTAATTATATTAATACTTTCTGAAATTTTTTATACATGGACAATTCCTAGCCAACAGATTTGTGGGGCTACTTTCTTGATATGGGACAAGTCATATACATTAATAGCTTTTTACCCATTATTTATAATTTCTAATTTAGTTATGTTACTCAATTGTATAAATATTGCCTTTTAAGATATAACTCAGTTTTTCCCCACATGTGCCAGAATGGTGACTAAGGACACAAGTGAATGTTTAACTTGTTTAAACATGTAGTGCAATACACATTATCATTTTGAAAAAAAGTAATGGCTTTCAGTTATGAGAGATTTACAAGCTAGCAAATCTAGAACAAGTAGCAATACACCAAATAATTCAAGAAACCAACCTCAGTAATACAGATGTCTATTTTATTAAAAAAGTTACAAACAGGTGGACTGTAGGGTCGGTCGTCTTACAAAATGACAAGAATGAAATCTATTGGAAAAATTTTACTGTTACAAATCTTTATAGGTCATTGTTCAATGTTTGTACTTGTTATTTGAGATTTTTTAACCTTTAATTGATAAAGTTACAGTACATTAGATCCATGATAATAGGTTACATGATTTTATTTGCAGAGCCCTACTGCAGTGATTTGAACAACTCCTAAACAGATGCCATAGTACAGACGAGACATATATTGCATTTAATATTAATTTATTATCCTAATAAGCAACTTGACATGCAATCTATTGAGGAAGCTAAAATAACTTTTGGTCCCTTTTCTTAAAATGTGCTGGAGAAACCACCTTTAAATCACTTTCCCCTGATTCCTGTGATCCTAAATGAATTCAAGTTAAATTTGCTGCTGAGGTTAGTGATAGAGATAGAGAGATAGGGAGGGAGGGAGGGAATAGGGTAGGAGGGAGGGTGTAGTGGGAGGGGAGGGAGAGGGAGAGAGAGAGGGAGAGAGGGAGGGAGGGAAAGAGGGAGAGAGAGAGAGAGAGAGAGAGAGAGAGAGAGAGAGAACATGAGAACTATCCATAGGAAAGAAACACTATAAAAAAAATCCACCTGCAGAAAATTTAAATCATCATGAATTATTTGATTCCTTTAGAATTTCACATAGCTAATAAAGATGAACCACATCACTTAACCTACTTTGAACTGAGGGTTTGGTTTTAAATTTGACATTAAAGTGCAAACTTAAATTAGGTATTCATTTCAAGCAGTTAATAAATAAGGAACAATGTTTCAATTGCCTCCACTCTTAAAATCTCACCATAAAATTCAAAATCTATGATCAAGTGTTCACTTTGAGGGAATTTGATCAGGAATCAAATGCAACACGATTTAAAAAAAGGAAATCAAAGTTTAATCAATTTCTATGCAATAATTAATGGTCAGCTGACCAATAAATCACATGAATGTAGATATCGCTTTATTTGAACATCACACACAATATAAATTTAAAATTGCCACACCCTTCCATAAACCATCACTGCATATATTAGAGCTTTCCTTGACAAAGTTATTGAGCTATTATTATAGATCAAAAGCATAGTTTTGGTTTGTTTGTTTTGTTTTGTTTTATTTAGAAGCATGTTCAAATGACTAAAGCTGGGCTCCTAAAATCGAGAACTTTGGTGCAGTAGGTGAGCTGCAGGTACTAACTTCTGCAAATTAAATGCACACAACTAAAATCAAATAAAAACCCAACAAAATACTGTCAAACTTACAAAATTTTAAAATCATTGCTAGAAAAAGCGCTCATTGTCATGTTAAAACTGAACCAAAAGATTATTCTTTGTAAGTTTCCTTTCTATTCCTATACCTGTGTTACTGATAAAATGTTCAAGTATTCAGACAAAATGTGCTGATTAGGTAAACAACATGAAAGGCAATGGCTATTAGAAGAACATTTGCAAGGGGAAAAAAAAAGCCCAGAGACTTGGCGCTATCCTCCCTCCTGTTACGCAGACTTTTGTCTCTACTACGAACATGCTTCTTGAGAAATAACTAAAAAGCAATTGTGATAGTGCAAGAAAACTTTAACAAATATTGCTTTAAACTATTATTCAGAAAGACAAATATTAAGAACTAGAAAGTGTATATGATTTTACTTGAATTCAATCTTACATGTGCAGAAGTCTATTAGATGTCAATTACAAGCCTGACAGGCAAAGCTGAGCTATCTCTGTTTAGGTATACAATTAATTTACCATGGATACAATATCCCTTTTCAAAGGCATTGCTAAGTAGGTCATAACTAAATTTAGAACTTCACAGAAAGGAAAATGTTACTGCTGCAATTTGATGCTGTAAATGAGATTAACACATGTGAAAACCTAATGGAATCAAATGCTTAACTCTGCAGCTAAATGTTCTACACTCAATTTCAAATATCAATTGCAACTTTCAGAACATGTTAACTACAAAAACACACCACAAACTGCACTTGAAGAAAAGGGATATTCCATCCATACAGGTAAAATGTGATCCTTAGTTTCTTTTTACAACACTGCCACACGTAAACAAAGTCTCAAAGTATTAACCAACCATTTAAAGGAGAAAGATTTTACAAATAGAATGAAGCACTGGTGCGAGGTAATATACAGAAGTAACCATTTGTTTAAGGCTCATTTTTTTCTCCATTATAACTTTCTTTTAAAAGGCATTGAGTAGGTAATACTGAGTTTGAGTATTTAATAAATACAATTGAGAAACTGATTAAAGAAATCAATTAAAATATTAAAAATTAATTCTTGCATATTAGCCATCAATAAGAACTTAGAAAGCTACAAAAGGACTGATTGATAAAGAACAGATTTTAAACATATGGTAAACGTGCTAAGCATTCCTGTTTAAGGTCGATGGATCTTGAAAGCCAAAGACCTTATGCACTTAATTAGATGTATGGCAACATGCTGTAATAGAGACAGGTTTACCAAGGCTCAGTTCTGCAACCCAGGTTGTAAAGTTCTCCAAAGCAGCATCTGTGCAAATTTCCTCTGAGTTTTATCTGCAATTAAAATACAAATGTCATAAAAATGTCAAATTGCAGTTTAAAATGAGAACACTGACAACAGATCTATATGCAACATGGAAGTGGTACCAGAATAACTATCTTAAGGTGGAATTGCACTGTGTTTACCATCAGTTTAAGTAAAAAAGTGTTTTTCTGTGGTCCAAAAAGTCATTAAAAATTAGAAACACTCTAATGATGCATTGGATATAATACACCGCATGTGTGCAACTACTCTGGTTTATTTTTTAAAAAATAGTGCTATACAAATTCGTACTTACAAAATAGTCACAGGAATGTAAAGTACTGCATAGAGGATGTCATCAATAATACCGTAAAAACTATGTATAGTGCCAAATGGGTACTAGACTAATTGGGGGATCACTTCATAAATTATATAAATGTCTACCCACTATGCTGTACACCTGAAACTAATATAAAATAATATTGAATGTCAACTGTTAAGTGAAAAAAATAAATTAATAACAAATAAAATGGGACTGTACTTTTGCTTGTATCCTTTATACAATATTAAAAACGTTCTTACCGGTTTAAAAGATCTTACAGTATAAAAGTGTAAATGTTACTTCTACTTTGAATCTGATGTTTTTAATGGAAAATGATATTAGAATTAAATGCATATTAATTATGAGAAAACTTGACAGTACGCAAAACTTTTCCAAAATTCAGGGTTTTGTTTTGAGAATTTAAAATAAAAAGTGTAATTCCATTAAGGGCTAGCTTATATGAAGCACTTACTAGGTTCCACGACTTGGGTTAGATGCTAGGTGACAGCAGTAGTTCCTATTTCCCACTCTGGTCTGCCCATTTTTGGGACATCCCCCAACCATAGCAACTTCTATGATTGGGATGTCTCAGTCTCTGCTCTTACAATTGATAGACTTCTGCCCTTCTAATTAATACAGGGTGGGGAATCTATCATTCAGACACATCCTTTAAATGTGCTGGATGACCAAATAGCTTCCCGGGGAGTGGAATTACATTTGTTTTTTAATGTAAAAAATAAAAAATAAATAAGTAAAGCCAGAAACGAAGAGCAGAATAGCAACTATGAAAGAATGCCAAGTGAAAACAATTTAAGATCATCTAAGGGCTCTATCAATGTTTACACATGCATAATTTTGATTTCATTTGACAGCTATACTTTCATTAGTGTTAAAAGAGCCTGAGAGAACTCTTTATTAGAAGCTATATCATAAAAATGATTACTTTTAAAGAACGTTTTTCTGTTCATTATTATTGCAATTCTGTCACCCAAACACATTAGGAAAAAATAGAGAAAAGTTTGCCTTTTTAGAAATTATTATAGAAACATTTTTCTTCCAATTAAAATTAAAACTTTTTTGCATTAAGGAAAATTGTTAATTAGAACACTGGTTATTTAAACTTGGGCAAGTCCAGTTTCCTCATTAAAATAAGGATAAAAATTATTTCCCCAGATATATCATAAAGTAATATGTGAAAGTACTTTACATGTCAAATGTCAGGTATCTTTTTTCATTTCTCAACTATGTTATGCATTTCTAGAAGACCAGGATTATGTCTTTGACATCCAGATTAAAGACTGTTTTAGCCTCATTTGAATTTTCCTACCTATTTGAACATAACAGTAATTCCTTATATATGCAATTCTTTGGGAAGACTTTTCAGTAATGCACACTAGATTTTCCTTAATTTGAATTAATAAATTTGCTATAAATGTTAATCCACATTTTTCAAATAGACAACAAATAAAGATTTGGGATTTTCAAATATGACTATGTCTCTTAAACAGTGAAGATTTGTAACATGCGATGATTTAATAGTTCAGGTATTCTCTGAAATCAAATTGAGGAAGTAGTGATTATTTATTTCTAGCCAAAATAAACACTAAGAATACAAACCAGCTTATTAACCATAATCTACATTAAATAAAAGGTGATACATGCATTATTTCCTGCCGTCTAAAAACCTGGTTAACATTTGGCTCATCCACATTCCATAAGATGGCAATACTCCAGTGAAATCAAGAGACATAGATAAATTCCAGGTCAGACTCAACAATCTTAATAGGAGGCATACCTTTAAACAAACAGCAAAGTATTAACACCAACTATTTTCAAGGAAGTAATAAATTTCGATTCTCTGCAGTAATAAATCCTGAAGCAAAAGGTTGCATTAAGCAAAAAGGACAGTCTCTCTCAGATTAAAATTTCACAGAATGCGAAATGTAAATGTTATTGCTCCTCACTGTGACAGCAAAATTTTCAACGTACTAACATCTCTCATTCATTTAAAAAACATTCTAGAAGCTTTCAAGGCAGCTGGTCAAACTCATACTTTTTAATTCCCAGGACATCACAGACACATTGCAAAAGTATAACTTGCTTCTTGTGAGACAGAACACAAGTGACCCCTGTCCTCTCTCAAGTTTCCAGCAACATACCCAACAAATCCTAACTCTGAAAGCTTGTGCTCAAACTCTTGCGTAATTGGTTTCACTTTTTCACTTTTTTCCTAATTAGATTTTGTTATGGAAGAGGACAAGAAAAAAATCCCAAACAACAGTCCAAACTTTTTGTTCAGGAAATTATGAAATAGGGTCTCCCAAGTGGGGTAAATTGCTACACGAGAGTACCAAACACAGAACTGAAAGAACAAAGATCATTATTTATGTCAGTAAGAAGAAAAAGGGAGACTCTTGATTCAAGACCAGCACATCATTTCACGTGGCAGCAGAATGCCTGGAATATTAACAAACGTTCCTGAAAGGCTTAGCAGTTTATGAATGTCTTTTTAGCTCAGCTGCATTTACCATTTCTGAATACAATAGTATTTACTAGCATTCTTTTTAGTAAAAATAAATGTGCAATCATAATCCATTTTAATTTTTTTTTTGTTCCAGCTTAAGACATATGATATTCTGGGGATTTAACAAAAAAAAATTTTTTTTTAATAAATTTCTCTTCACATTTTTTACTTGGCATTTTCATATCCAAGTTAAATATTAGTTATGTTAGCAAAACACTAGGCTAGAATTCTGTTGACAGGCATTATGTTTTTGTTAAATATCTTGTTTCTCTATCCTAATTTGCATAATACTCATGAAGCTTATTGGGGGGGTGGAGTGGGAGGACTAGGTCATTAAAAGTGTTCACCTGTCACCCACTGAACATACAGAGCAAAAGCTGAACCTATGGAATAGAATCCTTGAATGAGAGTGGAACAATGCTTAAAGGAGAACATGCACCCTCGAAGTTTATGGTGAACCCTGAGGAGGGGAGGGATAAGCAATTTTTCTTGCTCTAGCCCGAAAATCTCTGTAAATTTACATTAATACGACGAGTGCAACTTTGAGATCTCAAATAGTATGACCATGTCCATTGATAATAAGCAGGAATTTGAGCCCAGGGACCTGATCCTAGCTGCTGACTTAGAATTAGACTAGATAGGGTACTGCTCCCCTCAACTCTAAATTGCTTGTTTTGAATCTGATATTCCTAAGACTGTGGCTAATCAAAGGAATTTGGGACTATGTTTTTGGTAGGAGAAGTTTTTCCAATAGCTGACAGGACTTAAGTTTTTCTTAATGATATTATCCTCTGGATTTTAGAATTCCACTGAGAAGTAATCCCATGAGGGGAATCTTTTCTGTAGTATGGCTAGAACACTTCCTCAGTGGCAATTCTCCAACTGCATGATGCAATTTTTGTTAATTCTACTGATGGTCCATTCTAAGCCAGAGAGGTAATAGAGTAAAACTGAATGGCTCATATGCATTTCATTCTGCAATAAAAGCCTAGTCTTGAGGTTAAAGGAAGCAATTAAACAGGGAACAGACATACAAAAACTCATTCTAATCACCAGACACCTTCACATCCAGAGCAGGTCTAACTAGGTACCTATCTGAACTGTCCCAAACCATGAGCTTTGTGGGGGTCAGTAAAGGTCTGGGAGAATTAGTGGAGCAGAAAGGACAACGCATCTCTGTGCTCCCCTTTTACTCCAGGGCCATTGCAGGTCTTTATGGTACACACTACCCCAAAGCATGCGTCTTCCTTCATTCAGGGATGCCATGCCACAGGCTCCATTTGAACTGGATGACAAACGAGCATTTAAAATCAGTTATTTTCACCACTCAAAGTGATATGCAAAATAGGGCGGGGGGGTGTCGGGAGGAAGTATCTATCTAAACTGTAACTTCTACAACAGAATTCCGCCCGTGTTTTATTGATATGATTAACATTTAACTTGGGTGTGAAAATGCCAGCATTTTAAAGTACACACTGTGATTTAATTTTCACGATTTTCTCCTCACATTTGCTAAATCCCCAGCATATCATATCTAATTAAAAGCTGGAGAAATGATTACAAACAATTCTGATTCCACACATTTATTTTTTAAAAATGAAAATACTTATCAATTCCACTGTTTAGAAATAGTAAGGCCAGCTAGACTACTATGACATTCATAGATGGTTCAGCCTTTCAGGAGCCTTTGTTAACACCCCAGACATTCTGCTGCCACGTGAAATGATGTGCTAGTCTTGAATCAAGAATCTCCCTTTTTCTTCGGGATGACATATATAATGAACTGAGGCTGACATAAATAATGATCTTTGTTCTTTCAGCTTCATTCTTGGTGTTTGGTACTCTTATGCACCATTTACTCTCATTGGGAGAACCCGTTCTATATAACACATGGAGAAAAATAGGATCAAATCTTGCAGGAGATCTTCAAACCACAGCGAAGAACACATTTTTTTTATTCCTGTTTTCTTTCTTTCTTTGTAAATAACTTTTGTCAATACTGGACTGAGACATAGGAATTATTGAAAAGCAATCTTAAAAAAACATTCTGTTTGCCAAAAGCATATTTACCAAACTGTCACATTTAAGGGAAAACTTGACTGCACTTCCCACCTTCGTTTTAGGGAAATCAACAGAATATTTTAGGATATTATTTTGCTCCTTTTGGCATTCCCTCTGTTTAGAATTACCTCTACCTCTTCCCCATCCCCTCATTTCCTACCTATTCTTCAAGGTGTGACTCAAATTCTACTCTCAGTGAAATTCCTCTAAATCAGTGGTTTTTGGCCAAGGGAGATTTTTGCACACACCCCCCACACACACACCTGGCAATGTCTGGAGATATTCCTGCTTGTCACAACCTGAGGGTGGGGAGAATGCTAATGACATCTAGTATAGGGTTGCTGCTAACTATCCTACACCTCCCCCCCAACAAAGAGCCAGAATATTGAGAAAACTGCTGTAACTGAAGGTGGTCTCTCCTTTCCTTGAACCCCCACAGCACTGTGATTTACTTCTTTTATAGTATTGTGAGATTAACAAAACACCCATCATTCTCAACAACAGTGTACCAAAGCAGCCAACTGTCAATTATTCACACCAATACAGTGGAGCTACGATGTAGTTAATAAAAGCAAAATAGGGCTGCAACAGTGACCTGGGTTTCTATTACACTGCTGCTACGCAGTAAAAGAAGTCCTTCACAGCAGTTGACGGTTGGTATATGAGGCTCCTCAGGTCAGTAGGAAAACTAGCCACGAAAGCAGCACATAAAGAATCTGGCCCTGAATCCAAACTCACACTAAGATTACTGCCAGTGGGAGGGTGAAAGGTGAGGAAACAATCCTGGGAGACATGCAGATAAACAGGTGTTGGACAAGAGACTGGTGACCCAAATTGAAGGGTGGTAAGAAACAAATGTGAGGAATTATCAGAAGCAATTCTTAGAGCATTAAAAAAATTTCCCTTTCAATTAAAAGCAACCAATTTACAACAATCACAGTCTTTCTGACTTACTCTAGTCTTATTTCTAACTCAGACAAGATACTCTTCTAAATTTTAAAGACAAGCATTTCTACTTTACTTGTCAAAGCATCACCTTTACTTGTCAAAGTTTGATCTTCAGTCTAGATCTGGGACTGAAAAAATTCAGAGTTCCATGACTCAAGCTACAGGATTCAGAATCCATCACCTATTTTTTAAAATAAATAGTGAACAGGCACAACCACAAATATTATGGACCTCAGTTACAGATTTCCATACACATCAGTTCAATCTTATTTGATGTCAGAAAACTAAAAAAACTGCATATAATGTGCTTTGTTCTAAAGGACCTCGGTCAGGAAATTCGCTTTAATATTTCAGAAATTCAGCTGATTAGGTTATTTTATTTCAAGGCTTGCACTTTCAATAGTGTATTCTGCTTACAAAAATGAAAACCAAACAAAAAACTATATTATAAAAAATTAGCAATTATTGGTGTTAATATTTTCTGGTTTTTAGTACGTTAGTTAACAAAAAATGTGAACAGAGTTGACTTGAGATATATATATAAAAAAATGAATCATTGCTCTAGGTAACCAAATGGATTAAAAGTAATTTAGATCACAAAAGTTGCAAAATAAAGTCAGAAATAAACCAGAATAAGAAAGATTTTAAAATAGCTTTAGAAATTATGCGTTTGCCAATTTGACTGAGACAGTTGGCCCTCTACATGTATGAGACCAATTTGATTCAGTTTACTTTCTGTAGCTGTCTACAATGATAGGAAATTGGGGACAGACTTCAGAGTTCCATGACAAGCTAAAGCATTTTTTTAGATAAATAGTGAACAAAGCACAACCACAAATGTTACAGACCTCAGATTACAGATTTCCATACATCTCAGTTCCATCTAATTTGATGTCAGAAAAAAAACTGTATATAATGTGCTTTGTTCTAAAAGACCTCAGTCAGGAAATTCCCTTTAATATTTTCAGAAATTCAGCTGGTTAATTTTTTATAAAGATAAAAAACTAAAACATATACATTTCTGTCATTTGCCCAGTTAAATGTGTCAGAGAAATAGAGCATAATGGTGAAAATGCAATCGCTACACAGAACTTGTTCCAACTTGAAGATGGCTTGCAGTTTGAGAGATTATGGAAACAAGAACATGGGACTCAATTACCTATGTACGCCTGTTCCTGCCTCAAAAGGCTACTGTAAGTGCAACACTATTGACAAAACATATGCTGGACTGCAGTCTGAACAGTGACTTCATAAAGGAAGAGATGTAGCTAGGTATAAGAAAATACGTGCGTTTGCATCATATTCTGGTATGCAGTAAAGCTGATGAGTGAAAGCATTTTGAATAAAGCACTGTTGTTATACTTCATTTTCAAAGATGACACTACCTGACAGGAAAGCTTGTCTGAAGAGATAAACAAGGGACCGTTAGTCTTTTCTTCAGGGGCACACATGAAGCCTGACCTTTGATTAGAAATCATCACTGTGATCTGAAATGCCTGTTGCCATTTCCAACACTGCCACCTGGACTTGAGGTCAGTCTTGGCTCAAAACAATCAATTCCATTCCTGATACTGTCAGGCTACTCTGGCATTTGCTGTGGTTTCTCAGTCATCCCGGCTATTGGTTGGTTTATCTCATTATCTAGGTGTTACTGTCTAAGTGAGTCTATCTGCCCAATTACAATCTAGATTTTCAAATCATGATATGGATAAAATCATCTAATTTTTAATGCTCAGCAAGTCTTATATAACTCTTTCAAAAACTCATTCATTTAAAAAACTTTTATTAAGTTACCATTTAACTGAATGAAAAGTTTGAAAGTTTTATAATTGTTTATTAATAATGATTTATTAAATAGAAATGTTTCCTGGCCGTGGGACTGTCCCTTCTAACACACCACAGAAGATTTTGCCAGATTCTCATTTGGACCATATATTTATAATGAAGTCAAGGTACATTGTGGCACTATAATTTGCTATTATCAGAGGTCACTTAAGTCCCTTAAGTACAAGGTACAGATGAAATTGATTAAATAATCATCTTTTTCATCAAGCATTTGCATGATTAGTAAACTGATGATTTCAATTATAGCAGTTCTCTAGCCCGGGACAGAAAAGTGTAGAAAACATAAAGCTAATCATCTTCTGAAATTATTACTGGATGCTCTCCTGTGCATTCTGGAAGATAAATCACCAAAACAGTGAAAAGGTGTATTATCCTTTAACTCACCCCAAAACAAAGGAATGTTATCAATGAAGCGGAGAGAAAACAGTAACGCACTTTAAAAAATAAATCTTGGTGAAGGGAACACAGGCAATTTCTTACCTTTGTTTCAATTATCTGTATTTTTTAGATTTTCTGCATTGAATAAGGGAAATGCTATTTTAAAAATAAATTTAAAGTAGCACAATGTATATTAATATCAACCAGCTTTTTGTTACACTTGATCAAAAACAAAACACTTTCTGCTCATATGATTCCATCAATGACTAACCTGCTCGGTATGGCCATGATTGAGGTTATCTTTTTTTACTGGACAACACAAGTTGTACAACACTGATCTTGCTTCTCGGGCAGGGATGAATAGTTCATTTGCCTGACGATCTCAGCAAAAAGTTCATCCACCATTGATTTACTTTTTGCCGATGTCTCCATGAAAGGACAGCCCCATTCTTGAGCCAGAGCTCTGCCTTCTGAAGACATAACCTCTCTTTCTGGTTCCAGATCCACTTTATTTCCTACTAGGATTAGTGGGACTTTTTCATATCTCTTCACTCTGACAATCTGATCTCTCATTGGCTTGATATCCTATTCAAACAATCACAAAGAGAAAGAAAAAAAATTATGCTGTTTGCATAAGCATGACAGAAGTATTACAATCTCATAAGAAGTCATCCCTCAATTGAGTAGAGAGCTAAACCCAAAACAAAACCACACATTCAAACAGAGAAAATATCATTTTCTCCATTGAAGTGGGAACTAGATTATTTCCACAGGCCCTACTTGCTGGGTTTCTGTCATGAATATAAAATGTGGTTTGCACACTAACCTTAGAATTCATTTAATCATTTCTTTCCCACGGTCTATACTAATTTAAAAAAGCAAGATCCCAAATATGATGAATCCATTCATACATAAGAGTGTTTGGCCATCTCCTTAAGCCTGCCGGCGGCTTGTCATCACTCGTCATAACACCTGTTATCCTAGCAGAGGATTTTAGCATCTATGCATTCCTAGCCATTCAGCAAGAGTGCTTGAGAGTAAGTGTTTAAGGCTGGAACAAAAACACTGTGTCATACCTAGAAGACCAAAGTTAAAAACAGATTCATACACTTATTCATTTTAAATTTAACGGTATGCTATTATCTCAGTAAAATTAAATACCTTAAAACACACTTGAAACTATTGTAATAGTGAGCAGCTCCTGGAAGGAACAAGCAGGTGGGAGTCTGGGTGGGAAGAAGTCCTACTTTTCTCTGCCTACATTCTGGTTTACAACTTGAATTTTCTCCCAAGTGTATTACTTTTTCTAAGTAATTACAATGAATTACAAAAGATGAGAGCTTTAGCAGTTCTCTAGCAGCATCAACTTTGGGGGAAGGAGTATTAATGAAAGACAAGACAATATTACTGACTGTATTCTAACCTTACAATTTTTTTGATTTTTCATAACTTAAAAGGCTTAACTTGAATATAAACATGTGTTTAAATTGAATAATTACAGTAAACAGAATATTCACATGCAGGATGAAAGAAAATGAGGGGACTGTGAAAATTTACAAAAACGTAACAATTATTTGATATTTGCAAAAATTTTGTTTGATCATGTATCAGTTCAGTCTTCTAGGTTATCTTTTTTCCCCAGTGTCTTTATGGGAACCCAAGTTCACCTTAGAAACCGAATTTCTGGCATTTGGGTTTAAAAGCGTTTGAGTCTCTGTTAAAATAATGGCAGTTTTTTTTCATTCCCCATTTATGTCTATGACAGTAGATATGGAGATCTTATGAAACACCCTTCAAAAGACTTCCAGCCTCAAGAGAGTCAGCTAATAGAATGAATATCAAATCTCCCAGGGATGCTTCAGAAATAAAATGCCTGTCAAGTAGCACCTTTAGTACTTTGGTCCTTTTTGGGGAACAATGCTTGTATGATACTATTGCTTTGGAATTTAAGCCTACATAAAATGAACTTGAGTTTGGTCACTATAACTTTGATTCATTTACCCAGAACTTATTATGTTTAAAAGAAAAAAATATCCTGAAGTGCTATATCTGGTAACTGAAAAAGTTCACTATAGTACTTTAATTTAAAATACTAAGAAAAGTGGAATTAGCACATTGGCTTGACTAAAGCACTTAATGTCTCTTAGGTAAACATTAAGTGCACACTTTTAAATGCAGAAAAATATCCATTTCCTAAATCAATGGAAGTCAATATAATGGGTCAATATGAGGTTATTTCCAAGGAATAAATAGCAACATTTATTGCATCTCTTAAAATAATGTTAATCCTTCAGTCTGTCTCCCAATGAAGGTCAGGACAGATTTTCCGAGGAAACTGGACCATCTCCAGTTTGGCCATTCAGCCAGGGTTAGAAATCTGCACTTGTTCAATGTTCCCAGATCCGTGTATTTTCTAAAGTAAGTGTTTTCAGAAACAATTTGGATAACTGCAGAAAAGGAGAGTCATTCTTCATTTTTGTTGGTTATTAATTCCAGGTACTAGTCTTTTCAATTAGTAACTTTTCCTTCACATGCCCCAAGTAAGTAAAATACCTAGAAGGCAGGTCTTGAATTCCTCAACTTGTAGCACCAAGATTCTCGTTGAGAAACTTGGGTGAGAACAGAGAGGGAGTGGGTGGTGGGAAAAGCAGACACAGAGATAGGAAAAGTTGCACAGATGTGGGCTCCAAATAATTTTCCTCTCAAAGTGCTCTATTTAACCGAGTTTATCTATTAATGTTGTTTGGTTGAGTACCTTCATCAATACTTGTTGAACTGCACAAGCAACTTCAGAAGGTTATATTCCAAGCTAAATATACACAAACTGAACTACTTCTTTTTTTCGGACCCTCTTCACTTTTCTTTGACTTAAGAATAACTTGAAAATGTTTGTTGACAGTTGTTACGTTAGTATTCTCTGTAGAAACAACCCAATACTTTTCCGTGCCAGGAGTAACCTCAAAAATGCGCCATGTGTAACTTTCACATAGTCATTAACGCACGGTTCAAGCAAACCAAAAGTAAAGTAGGATTACCACACCCCCTTCTTACAAATTACAAGACTTGGTTTGGTTACCTGAAAAGACTGTTGATTAACCAGACTATAAACCAGGATGAAACCTTGGCCGTTTTTGATGTAGAGATCTCTCATGGAGGCAAACTGCTCAGTTCCTGCGGTGTCCAGAATTTCCAGCACCGACGGGGAAGAGTCCACTTCGATCTCTTTGCGGTAGAAATCTTCAATGGTGGGGTCATATTTCTCAATGAAAGTCCCAGTGACAAACTGCACAGTCAGGGCAGATTTGCCAACCCCTCCGCTCCCTAACACCACTACCTTGTATTCCCTCATGAGTCTCACCTTCACCAACTCCTACCCGAGGGAGGGAAAATAACGCCCCGCTAGCAGCGGCGCGCTCGGGGAGGCGGAAGGTGGGCGGAAATCTGCGAGCTTCGGGGAGGAGAGTGCAGAGAAGCAGAGGGCCCAACGCGGGAAGAAGAGGAAGTTAAAGGCGGGGGAGGGGAGAGAACGAAGTGTCGGGGGTGGGTGGGGATGGGATGGTAATGCCCTTCCTATAGGAACTGAAGCCCAAGTAGGGGGTGTGGGGAGGAGGGCGCCCCTGGAGAAGCCCAACGAGGGTGGGGAGATGAAATGCGCCCCTCGGAGGCCAGGACTGGAGGCTGCTTATCGTGGGGCCCCCGCAGGGAGGCGGGCGTCCGAGGAGCCCACAGCTAGGGGCTGCCCGCACCCCTCCCCCGCCCTGCACACAAAGGGGCCCAGGGACCCCGCTTCCTGGTAGCGCCGCTGAGCCGGCCCAGGCCTTTGGGCTCCGCTCCCGTCACTGCTGCCGGGCGGGTCTCTGGGCCGCGGCTCCCACGGGCGTCGTCCGGCCTGTTATGGGGGAAAGGGGTGCACGTTACCCACCTGACCCCCACCCGCCCCAAACCAGCATCCCCTGCTGACGCCTCCCCCAGCTCCAGTCCCCTACCCCCACCCGGCTGCCTCCACCAACGCCGAAGCCACCCGCTTACCCTGCGGTCTGCACCCGCCCGGCCGCCCGGGAGGCTCTGTCACGCCAAGGCCATGGCCACGGGCCGGCTCCTGTCTCACCGCCGCCCCAGCGCCGCTGTTCGCAGAGGGGAGAGGGGCGGGGGCCGTCCAGCGGCTGCGGCGGCGGCCGCAGGGACTCCAGGCGAACCCACCTCTTTTTTTTTCTCATCCACCCCCCCACCCCCAGTACACACCCGGAAGGGTTTCCCTGACACACTGGCTGAGGTGTCCCGGTTCCCCGAGACTGGACTGGATCACTTCCGGTGGGGAAAGTCCCACCTCTTCAGAGCAAGCAGGGTGGCGCTGGGGCCGCGCCCTGCTGGGCGAGACGGCTGGGGACAGTTTTTGGTCGGGGCTAGGGCCTTGGAAAAAGGCCTCTCTGAGAACCTTCAGCGTCCTTCCTTTCCCCGCCTGCAGCTGCTGCTGCTTCTGCCGACAGTCCCACCCCCAAACTATCGAAGCCCCTCAGGGTCTCAAGCCGCCCCCAGCCCAGAGGACTTGATCCGCTGGTTGGCCTGTGCAGGAGAGCCAGTAATGATCTAAAAACCGGGAGAACGCCAAACATCCCTGGACTAGAAGTGGCAGGGGAAATAAAACAGCCAAGAAAGTTTATTCTCTTTGCTGGTATTTCTTCTACTTGATCTTTTTCTTAGAAACGGCGTGCAAACTACCTTTAGACTTCACTATTGCTCTGATTTCGTATGTGGTGGTGTGTTTCACTTGGCCGTGCCTGACATAATTAAACACGGTGCTTTTATCATCTGGCAAAGCTGCCTTGATTCCATTAGCAAATGCCAAAGTCACTCCTTTTCTTTCTTGTCACCAGGCTTGGAAAACAAAAGGATTGCAAATAGACTTTTCCAGGTACTCCAACTCAGCTTTGCCTCTGATCCCAACCGCTACACAGCAGGAAAGGTAACCAATATCTGGGGAAGAGTTGATTGTAAATTGTTCAGGCTTGCAGACTAACTTAATCTTTTCATCATCTGCATGCACAGCTATTTGTATGGATAGCTCTTCCATGTTAAAGTTTGTTTTAACAGCCATCCTCCATAGTCATTGAAATTCAAAAGCACAGGACTCTAACTTTTAAATATTGACTTTCTATTTTTAGATAAAACTGTTACTTCTTACATCTCTTTCCCTCTGCCAACTTTCTATTTGTAAACTTTGTGTCAGGTCCACAGGCCCAAAAAGCTAGGTTATTTTTTGGACATGTTACTCCCTTTTTGATTTAAGCATGCACCCAGAAACCTGAGAGATTCGATGGCCAGTCAAGTTAAACTGACTCCAAATTTCCTTACCCGCAAGTCCTAGTGGCCAGACTGTATTAAAAGAGATTACCAAGCCCAAATGGTTAGATATTAGAAAACATGTAATTCACAATACTGTGAAGTCCCACTGTGTCTCTCCCTGAGTAGTCCCCAATGTCACTTACAGTATCCAAAGGACAGTTTAGTTCAATTTCTCTTCGGCTTAGGGCTGGTGCAATCTGTTCAGAGAAGTCCCCAGCTCTGGCTTCAGCTGGCTGGAGTCCCGCCTGATATCTGAGGCACTGCCCTCTGCTGGAAGAGGTTTGGTCTATGAGTTATGAGCCTCCCCATAGGTCATTGCTCCTTCCACACGTGCTGTTGCCTGATTTGGAGCTCTGCTGCCCATCTCCCTGTCTAGCTGTCTCCAGACTGTCTGGTGGAATCCACAGCCCTGCACCATCCCTACATGTAACTGAGTCTGGAAATTCCTCTTCTGACCCAGCAATCAGTGTTGAACAGTAGTAGCAAGTCTCTGCTCCGTTACTAAACTGTCAAAACAGGGAGCTCTTCTTTTTGAGGTCGTCCCACCTGTTGGCAACTCTAATAGTCCTGAATATGTTGGCCAAAGTGTTTGGAAGAGAGTTCTTTGTCTCGGCACACAGTGAAACATACTCCTCCCCTCAGTACAGAGTTCTGTTGGGTCACTCTCAGCAGCTACAGCATTGATAAATGTCACACTCGGTCTGAAGCTCCTTCTAAACTTTCTTGGGAAGGGGATTCATTACAGCAGCATTTAGGAAAGCAAACAATCAGAAGTAATTTAAATGTTCTTTAATAGGTGATTAAAAAATTGTGTGTGTGTGTGTGTGTGTGTGTACATTCACAAAATGGGATACTCTGCAGCTATTAAAAAGAGAAAAGTAGATTCAGAAGTGCTGATATGAAAAGACAGCCACGATATATTGTAAGGCTGAAAAAAAAGCAAGATACTGAACAAATACATAGTTGCTCTCATTTATGTGATGTGTGTGCAATACATATTATATAGCCATTAAAATCTGAATCAGTCATTAATTATCAGTGAGGGGTATTATGAAAGGACTTTTATTTCTTCATATCATTTACATTTTTAAACAATCAGTAATTATTGGGGAAAGGGAATAAATATAATTTTATAATATTTTTAAAGGAGAAACAAAAGGAAGTGGTTGATCACTTCCTCAAAAAAACTTCCTCAATATCTGACTGTCTAGGGGTCAGTGCACAGGTTTGCCCAATTTAAACAAACTCCCGCCTCCTCCTCTACTGTCCTCCCCGAATATATCTATACTTAGAAACGTGTTTTCACATACATTATCTTATTAGATTCCAGTTGTTCACCAGTTTACTTCATTAGGCAACGAGAGCATAAAGACCAATTAGAAGAGCACTGCTTGGCAGTTGAAAGCCAAAGGCTCTGAACGCAGGCAGACAGGCATTTAAATGGCAGCTCCTCCACCTCCTAGCTGTTCCTAGCTGTGGAACTTCAAGCAAGTGTTTTCACCAGTCTGAGCCTCTAACTCAGTGGTTCTCAACCTGTGGGTCACGCGACCCCTTTGGGGGTTGAATGACCCTTTCATAGGGGTCGCCTAAGACCATCTGAAAACAAAAAACTATTTACATTACGATTCATAACAGTAGCAAAATTACAGTTATAGAGTAGCACTGAAAATAATTTTATGGTTGGGAGTCACCACAACATGAGGAACTGTATTAAGGGGTCGCGGCATTAGGAAGGTTGAGAACCGCTGCTCTACCTCCTCACCTGTAAAATAGAGCTAATCATTTAATGTGAGAATATAATGAAGTTTTATATGTAAAATATATAAGCACAGTCCCTTGCTCTTTCTGAACCTTTAATAAAGGCTAGCTATTTGATTTTTATATAAAAGAGTTAATAAGGTGTTATTTTAAAAAAATCAGCAGACATAGAGAGAAAAACAAAATGTGAAAAGCCCAAATATCTCCAAATGGCACAAAAATAATAGCACAACTACTCTTTCTAAAGGTATTTATTGTTAAAATTTCTTGTACTTCCTTTCAGAGAAAAAAAAATCTTATTTATATGCTAGTATATCTATCAATCTGTCTTCTATATGTATTTTTTAAAATTACTTTAAAAGTAATCTGACAATACACACCATTCTGCACGTTGCTCTTTTCACTTACTATATCTTGGTGATTTTTCCAGTTGAGAACATATAGATCTATTTCATGTTTTTTTTAACAGCAGAACCATGATTTAGTTAACCAGTTCCCTACTGAAGGACACTGGTTGCTTCTAGTTCCTTACATTGAACATCTTCCACATACATACAGAGGGTGCCAAAAAAATGTATACATATTTTAGGAAAGGAAAAAACTGTATTAAAATTGTAATACAATGAATGACACTAGCATTCATTTGATGAACTCCATCTTTTGAGCGAACGTCATACTACACATTGCTACCGTAATTCAAATTCGAAAAGTAATACATAGATAACATCTCTTAAAACGTGTACATTTTTTTGCACCCCCAGTGTATCTTTGCTAGTTAATTTTTGGGTGAATTTCCAGTAGCTCAATAATCAAACAACTGTTACTTGCATTTAAAATTCTTCTGGTAAATATTGCCAGATTATCCTTCAGAAAGATCACCAATTCACATTCCTACCAACACAGTATGACGGTAACTGTTTCTTTAGAATCTCACCCTGGTATTACTAATTTTAGTATTTTACAGCTATTGTTACTCACTTTAGGGTTATTTTCAGGACTAACAAATGCAGGGTAGTGTTATAAAAGGAATTTGGGCTTCAGAGCCAGATAGGGCTAACATTGCCTTTTGCCAGCTAGCTCTCCATTCCCTCATTTGTAAAGTTGGGCATAATAGTGCATCTAGCTCATAGGACTCCTTTGAAGACTAAAAGAGACACTTTATTCAAAGCACTTAGGCACCCAAACAGTAACTGCTTAATAAATGTAAACTGCTCAAGTAATAACTTTCCACTCCCAAGGCTCAAAGATGAGGGGAGGGTAACTTCTCTAGCGAGTATGACCTTGAGATTCAGAACTTTTGCTTTAATTCTGTATCAACTTCCACTTCACAGTAATTATTATTCAAGCAATCATTCTCAAGAACAGCCGATTTTACCCTAGTGTGAAGAAATCTGAGGGTATAAACTATATGCAAAATACGGAAGTTACAGGTGCATAGTCTTGTTTTATGCAATTAGCTTGGCACAAGTTTAAATTGCTAAACAGTTTGCTTCAGGCATCAGTTGTTCACTTCTCTTATCCCTCCCTTCCAGTTCATGTGTCCTTCAGTTTCGAGCCCTGGAGCCATGAACTGTTCTGCATAACTTTCCCTCACTTCCACCCTCCAAGTGAGCTCTCTCACCTTCCAGGTCCTGGGGGAAAAAACCAAGCCCTGTTCCTCCATGCCCAGTCCTTTCCTTCTCTTTTGCTTGAAGTTGCCTTTGAGTTAGCAGACAGCTGAGTCAGTAGTGTCCTCGGTCTTTGCCTACAGAAATCTTCAGCAGGGCATCTTCTTGTCTTATTTCAGCCCTTTGGGAGGCCCCTTGGTAGCAGATTGTTCTTTCCAGTTCCTTCCAGCCTCCAAATCCTGCCTCAAGCTACCCCAGTTGTTGGCTCTGCCTGTCAGCCTCCCCAGGTACACAGAACCAATGTTACACCTTTATTATCTTTATCTCATTCTAAAAAAAATTGTCCCTTGCCAAAAAAATTTTTTAAAGGTTTAATCCCACTACACAAAGGAGGTCACTATTATATTTTAGTGCCTTTTACAAATTTTGTTCTCTGAAGGTGAAAAAAATATTTTTTAAACTAAAGATGGGGTCCTATACTTTTGCAAGCTACTGCTTTTACTGACTGAAACTTCATGC